GTGGTACAGGTTTTGCTCAAGAATATCCCTGTATTCAGGGGCGGACTGAGAACCCTCAGGGCCCCCGGGCAAAATAAATTAAGGGCCCCCTTACAGGCACCACCCATACTCTGCAGCAAGTGCCACCCTTGTCCCGCCTCCATGCACCGCCTCCATCCACACCCTACACAATCTTTAGACACAAGGAACAAAAGGGCAATAAGCCCTTCGAGGCCCCAGCAGAGACTACAATTGAGGGCTAATGGGCCATGGAGGGGGGTCTTTCTAGCGGAGGCTATCTCAGTGTCCTTTAGAGAGTGTGTTAGAAAGAATCTCCTCCAGGCCCCATTAGAGACTACAATGGAGTCTAATAGGCTTGGAAGGGGGTCTTTCTAACAGAGGCCATCTCAGCGTCCATTAGATATCCCCTGTTGGAAACAGTCGCCTCCAGGCCCCAGTAGAGACTACAATTGAGGGCTAATGGGCCATGGAGGGGATTTCTAGCAGAGGCTATCTCAGTGTCCTTTAGAGAGTGTGTTAGAAAGAATCTCCTCCAGGCCCCATTAGAGACTACAATGGAGTCTAATGGGGCCTGGAGGGTGGTCTCTTCAACACTCTGGTTCCTATTCACAATATAGCAACACAACATAGCTCGCTGATACCTAAGCCAAGTTGGCTCCTCTTACCTTAATTACTGTTGCTGGCTGGCAGTCTGTGGGCTTGCTGGCTTCGGCTGGCAGGCTGTGGGCTTGCTGGCTGCGGCTGGCAGGCTGTGGGCTTGCTGGCTGCGGCCGGCAGGCTGTGGGCTTGCTGGCTACTGCCGGCAGGCTGTGGGCTTGCTGACTGCGGCTGGCAGGCTGTGGCTTGCTGGCTGCGACTGACAGGCTGTGGGCTTGCTGGCTGCGACTGGCAGGCTGTGGGCTTGCTGGCTGCGACTGGCAGGCTGTGGGCTTGCTGGCTGCGACTGGCAGGCTGTGGGCTTGCTGGCTGGCTGGCTAACTGGCTGGCTACTGGCCAGCCTGTGGGTTGGCTGGCTGGCTACTGGGGCACTTGTAGATTATTTAAATAAATAATCCATGCGCAATAACCACTACTGCTCCAGAGTAAGTAGTCAAACCACTTAAGAACAGTTTGACAACTTACCTGGGATCTGCTGGGATATGGGGCTGTAGTAGGGAATAGGAGCAGTGGTGCAATGTGTGTGAAAGGTTCAGTGTGTGTGGGGGGTGTGGTGTGTGAATGTGTAGGGTGTGTGGGCTGTGTACGTGTGTGGCAATGTTAGTATGGGGGGCTGTGTATGGGGGTCTATGTGTATATGGGTGGGCAGTGTATGTGTGTGTGTGAGGCAATGTGTATGGTGTGTATGGGGGCAGTGTGTGAATGTGTATGGTGTGTGTTTATGGGGCTAGAGTTCACTCTCACCACTGCGACCACCAGGAATCCCTGGGGGTCACAGTGTTGAGAGTGAACACTAGACCGTAGCTCCAGGGCTAGAGTTGTCTCTCGCAAGAGCGGTAACGTTGCCATGGTAATCGCGGCAACGCTCTGTGCTCGTGCAAGAAGGACCCAGAGGAGCTGCAGGGTGAGCTCCCAGGTCCTCTCTTCCTTCCTCCCCTGCCCGCATGGTGCCTGCGGACAGGGGAGGGGGAGCAATTGCACTGTTGCCCCCCTGGATCCACCAGTGATATATACAGCCCTTCTGTGTGCCTTTTTGTCTCCCCGCGTCCCTCTGTATGTTTCTTTCTCCCCCCTCCTTCCCAGTCTCTCTTACCCCTCTGCCTCTTTCTCCCTCTCTTCCACTGTTTTTCTCCCCCCTTTCCCTGTCTCTCTCTCCCCCACATCTCTCTTCCTCTCTGTCTCTTTCTCCCCCTCCCCATCTCTTTCTCCCCCTGTGTCTCTTTCTCCCCCTCCCTATCTCTCTATTCCCCGTTTCTCCCCGTGTCTCATTCTTCCCTCTCTGTCTGTCTCCCCCCTCCCCATATCTCTGTTCCCCCCTCTTTCCATATCTCTGTTCCCCCCTCTTTCTCCCCCCTCCCCATATCTCTGTTCCCCCCTCTTTCTCCCCTCTCCCCATATCTCTGTTCCCCCCTCTTTCTCCCCTCTCCCCATATCTCTGTTCCCCCACTTTCTCCCCTTATCTCTGTTTCCCCATTCTCCCCATATCTCTGTTTCACCTCCTCCCCATCTCTTTCCCCCTCTTTTCACCCCTCCTCTGTTTCCCCTCTTTCATATCTGTTTCCCCCCCTTTCTCCCCATATCTCTGTTCCCCCTTTCTCCCCATGTCTCTCTGTTTCCCCCTTTCTCTCTATATCTCTGTTTCCCCATTTCTCCCCACTCTGTTTACTCCTCTCCCATATCTCTTTCCCCTCTTTCCCCCTCCCCTTATCTCTGTTCCCCTCCTCTCCCCATCTCTGCTCCCCTCCCCATCTCTCTATTGTCCCTCTTTGCCGCAAGTCTGAGGGGCTGACATTCATGCTGCAGCGGGATGAGGTAGCAGCCTGTAGGTCGACACTAACACTGAAGGAGGAGGAGGAGGAGGAGCATGTCTGTCATGCTCCCTGCGGTTCCCACAATTCCCAGCACAGGATGTGGGAACCGCAAAGGAGCATGACAGACACATGCTCCTCCTCCTCTTTCAGCGTTAGTAGGAGGAATGCCGCCGGACCGGTGGCTCCAGCATCAAACGGCCGGCCCCCTCACAGTGTGCCACCGGGCCGGCCACCCGGTGGCACCTTCCTCTGAAGTCACCATATCCAGCCCTGCCGCCGGGCCCCCTGAAGGCGGCCCTGGCGGCGGGCCCCCCTCCCGGCCGGGCCCTCGGACCGTGTCCGAAGTGCCCGACCGGTCAGTCCGCCCCTGCCTGTATTTAGCACCATCCATCTTTCCCTCACCTCTGACCAGTTTCCCAGTCCCGGCTGCTGAAAACCATCAACATAGCATGATGCTGCCAACACCATGTTTCACTGTGGGGATGGTGTTCTTTGGGTGATGTGATGTGTTGGGTTTGCGCCAGACATAGCGTTTTCTTTGATGGCTAAGTATGTATCTTCTGGAGGTAATTGGTTGCACCAGATCTTTTTATGGGCTTCTGTCATGTATTCATCCGCACATAAAAATGTGGTTAATGGCATTTACTGTCCTGACAGGAAAAGTTGTGCCAAGCAACATTACTGTCCTGACAGGAAAAGTTGTGCCGAGCAGCAATCAAATCCACAACAGGGTTTGTGCTGAGCAGCAATCATGCAAATGGTAACCTGATAATTGCCTTTGGAGTCAAAGGCCGGTTACAGCCAATCGGATCCACAGGAGAGGTATTTAGGCCCAGTTCTTGCTCAGTGTGCGTTCCTGATCTTGAGTTTCTGGTATTTGACTTTGGCTTTGTTTTGACTTCCCTGATATCTGGTATCCTTGACTTTTGGCTTTCCCTCATCTTTGTGTCTGATTCTGTGTCCCTGACCTCGGCTAGTATTTTGACTATTCTTGAAGACGTTAGGTCCGGCCATTCTAAGGTTCGGTTATACGTTATCCTTAGTCCTAGGT